CATGAGGATATTGGGCTGATCTATGGAGGAGGCTAGGGAGTTGGTTTTGGATGGCCATGCTAATTTGGTTGTGCTCACCGAGCGATATCTGGACCCACTTGATTTTGCTAATTTAGAGTTTCAGAGGTTAGGACTAGGGCTCTGGTTTTCTGCTTGGTGAGCACTTCTGTATTGACTAGCCAAGTTGGTTTGAGAGTGGCTAATCTGGTTCTATAGATGGAGTAAGGAGTAGGGATAACCAGTATTGCTTTGGTTGAGACCATCCTACACCTCGACCAAGCCTATAGAGTTGATGGGATATGGTCTGCTAGCCCAATCCTACTTTAGGTAAGCATTCTTGAGCTAGCGTAATTTGAATTTTGTTTCGATGCTTTCTGAGGGTTTACATGTGAATGCTTGTTTAGGGTTTAGAGAGAGAGGGAGCAAAGTCTAGCCTTGCATGTTTCTATGAAAAGGCTTAAATGTTTAGGCTAGGGTATAGCTGAATCTGTTTGATTTTCTGCCTGTTTTATTTCTATGTTTTAATGCAATGTCTGATCTTGTAAGTGTGGTTGAGGGACCATCTGAGGGTGGCTGAGCCACCACGAGACCTCCCCTACGAGCCATCACAGTATAGATCTAGGCGAGTCATGGTTAGGTTTGGGTCTGGAGATGAGTGGCTGTAGTGGCTATTGGCACTGAGGCCGGATCATATTCTGTGGAGGTGTGACTAGTATGATATTAGGAGATTTCTGGTTCGGTAAGTTGGGTTCCAAATAGCTTATTTGTTTGGTATGGACCACATCACTTTCTACGCGGGCTTCAAGCTGATGAGGCAGATGGGGCATACTCATGGATTGCCATTAACCGGTGCCCTTTTTGAGGATACACTAATTTCTCCTCGTGTCACTGTGGTTATACTGTGTAGTTGGCCCAGTGGGGCACATGTGGTGGAGGCTAGAGTTTCTGGAGGTAGGACTGTTGCATGTGAGGCTTGATGGATAGCTGAGCATGGTGACCGGGAGAGAGAGTATAGAGCAGCTCTGACTAGGGAGATTGATGTTAGACTCCAGGCGACTGCTAATACCGTCCTCGACTCTACCCGACAGGCTAACCTAGAGGACTCCGACAACTCAAGGGACATCCATCCGAAGCAGCACAGACGAGCCACCTAGACCTTCGGTGTATGTCGACCTCATTTTTATAGGGTAGAATTTTTTTACTTTTGATTTTTGACTCAGCCCATATTTTTGTGAGGGCCTTGAGATAGATTACTGACCTATGATGCATAAAGGACTCAGTTGACACACTAGATATTTTGACACTCTGGACAGTGGACACAGATAGTTGACACAAACATATGACAGAGATAGATGCCTAGAGTGATAGGACTTTTGTGATTTGCTTTTTACATAGCTTGAACTAAAAAATTGGAATTTTCATGAAAAGGGGCGAAAATATATTTTTATTATTGTTATGACTGCACCCATAGGCTAGGCTATCTACATATCCTGTACTTTTGGAACATATTTTCAGAACTCAGGTTACCGTAGTTTTGACTAACAACAGTGACATACAAGGGGATAATATTTCTGGTGCTAATGCCTGGATGCATTTACACAAAGTATCTCTTCAGCTGATCCAAGTTTCATGGATTGGTGTATTTGTTGCCATCAATATCTGACAGGATGACACTGCCTCCGGAGACGATCTTCTTCAGTATGTTGGGGCCTGTCCAATTTTGCCTAAATTTACCCTAAGGATCTTGTACAGGAGCTCTGATTTCCTTGCGTGCAAGACACCCTTCTTCAAGTTTCTGATCATGGATTCTCTTACTGAAGTGCCTGGTTATTCTCTATTGGTAGCTCTAGATCTGATTAAGAGCCTCCAGCCTCTTCTCATCAATTGCATTCATCTGATTGTGATAATTCTAAGCCCACTCTACTTCGGGCAACTCACTTTCTTGCATGACCCTAGCTGATCGAATCTGAACTCAATGGGGAGGACTGCTTCCATCCCATATACTAGTGAATACAGCGTTCCCCTAGTTGGCATTCTAATGGAGGTTCTGTATCCACACAAGGCAAAAGGTAGATGCTCATGTCAATCTCTATGATTGTGAATCATTTTATGTAGGATGTTTTTAATGGACTTGTTAGCCGCTTCAACTGCTCTATTAGTCTGGGGCCTGTATGGTGAAGACTAATGGTGCCGAATCTTGTACTTTGTCATGAGAGTGGGGACTTCCTTCTAAAAATGAGACTCATTATTTGATATGATCACGAAAGGAACCCCATATCTGCATATGATGTTTGTCTGGATGAACTGAGCCACTTTTCTCGAGTTTAGGATATGATAAGAGGCAGCTTCTACCCATTTGGTGAGTTAGTCGATGGCTACCAGGATATACTCATGCTGGTTGGAGGATTTGGGGAGTGATTCAGCCAATCACATCAACTCCCCATGTTACAAAAGGCCATGGTGTAGAGATGGGATGTAGAGCTATATGGAGTATTTTCTGAAGCTTGGCATAAATCTGGCATTTATGACATTTCTGGACAAACTTGGCGCAATCGGATCGCATGGTAAGCCAATAGTAACCCTGATTGGTGATCTTGTGGGCTAGAGCCATTCCGTTTATATGGAGGCCTTCTTCTCTGCCATGTACCCACTCCATTATCTGTTGAGCTTCTTCTTCTGTTACGCATCTAAGATGTGTCTGATTCCATGTGCTTTTGTACAGAATACCATCCTTGTACAGGTAGCCTTTTGATAGCTCCTAGAGAGTTCTCTTATCATATTTAGAAGCACCCTCAAGATGTTCTTCCTTCTCTAACTAAATCTAAATGTTTAAAAACCAGGGCTACCATCGGCAAGTTGCACATTACAGTAGTAGGTTAGCTGTTAGTGAATTGGGATGTCGAGGGGCTTGATGACCATGTCAAGGCTAGCATCAATCATTGAGGCAAGAGTAGCAAGTGATTAGCAAACTGATTTTTAGCCCGAGGTAATTAGTGGAAGGACAATTCTTCATACTATTGAGCCAGTTGATCAAGGCGCTAATATGAATTTCTTTATCACGACCCGTTGCCCTAGGTCGGACCAACACTAGGGCCTGGTGCCATGCCTTGCCCCTCTTTTGTGCAGCATTGTTCACCTACAGCCTTGCATGATATAGCTAGAGGGGCCTAGCTTGTATGTTTCTGGCGAAAGGCTCTAGAAGAGCCTAGGAGCTGCTAGGGTGGAAACTGGCATAGAGGGAAGCAAGGTTGGTGTTGGGCGCTAGGCAAGCCAACAAGGTCAGTGTTGGGCGCCACAAGCATGCCTAAAAGGTTCTAAAGGACGCACCACCACCATACAGGAGCTGCCAACCCCTAGCCACACACTTAGGTTGGCTATGGGTAATGGCCTAGCTACCATAGGATCAAACAGTACTCCAACTAGATCTCCACCATAGATTAGGTTGGTTAGCACACTATATGTGTGTGAGAAATGTATAGTAGTATAACATAGCATAGCGCACACACTAACTTCATACGCTGTGTAAAGCATTCCGTTGCTTAGTGGAATCTTTTCCCTCCACTCTGTCTTTCTAACTCTTTTAAGCTTGGGAACTTTGTGTGTTTGGTAGGCTGACTTAGCACAACTGGGTGTGTCTAAGCGTCGCACGAGGGCTGAGTTTGGACAAAGAATTCACCTCGTGACAAGTGTTATCATAGCTCCGATTGATCCTGAAGGTTGGATCACGCTCTTCTTAGTGTATAGAGGGTTCTTGCAAGCAAGTAGCACAATGACAAACACTAAGCAACCACTAGCCCTTGCTCAACAATTGAGCAAGACTATGAGGGATAAGTCTCAAGATGCCGTTGTGGACATGGAGAAAAGGCTGGCCAAGGTGAGTGCCACCATGTCTGACTTAAAGGAAAATTCGAAAACATGGACCAACGCGTCTTAATGCTCGAGTCCAAGAGGCAAGACGAGGAGCTAAGGGAGGAGATGCAAGGTGCCGTAAATATCGAAGTTGACACCCTGACCAAGAAGAATAAATCCCTCGAAGACGTGCTAGAGGCTTGTATGGCCAAGATCGAGGAGCTTAGCCAAGATCAAAGAAAAAAAAAATACTATTGTATTTAATTACCTTTTTGGAGTGTCAAAAAGCCTCCATAACCAAATATCATTTCCCCCGTTTTTTTCGGTCATGCATGTCTCTTCATAGATGAAAAATGTGATTTTGTGGTCATTGAGTTCCATCCCATAATCGTTTCTACTCATGCATTATCAATTGCTTTGATAAATGAATTAATACTTCGACTAATTTCAAGATAGTTTGAATTGGATTGTTTGATTTAATAACTAACTAAACCAACCGCATATTAGATAAAAATGGAGAAAAAATTATAAAAGTCAAACTAAGACTGAAGATATGAGACGGAGTATTAAAATATTACTAACAAAACCCTAACCCTAACCCTCAATCCATTCTGATGTGCAATTACAATATAGTAAATTGGGTAACCAATCACATAAATGGATTTAGGGTTACTACTCGAAAGATAAAAAATAAAAAAAATAAAAAGAAAAAAAGAAAAAAAGAAACATAACCAAAGCTAGATTTAACTTTAAAATATTAAAAAACTTCAACTTATCGGCGTAGAGAATGAATCAGTACACATCAAGCTTTATATTTTCACATACGATGTAACTGACAAGTCTTCCAATAGTCACTTGCAATTGCAAATTAAATACCTCTCGAGCAAAGAAGCAAGAGTTTGGCACATCGGTAAATTCAGAAAAGCCTAACCGCACTCTTGAACTTTACATTCAGAAAAGTTATTGGTAAAATGTGCTCAGCTTTGAAATTCAAGCCAAAACCAACTACACTGCGAGTGTATGAATATAGTAATTAAATATTTTTAATTCAAACAAGACCAAATAGAAAACTTCCGAATTAAGGGACTAAATAATACATCTTTAAAATCAGACTTTACGAATGTATCGAGTCATACCTGAACCTGGAGGAGTAAAAGAGAAAAGACTCGACAACAGTAGGCATTCAATTCATTCAAAAGTTCTTTCAACTAAATTTTTAGTATCAAATTAACTAAGAGACTGCTGCAGTCATCAACGTCACTCATGTTCAAAACTCAGGTTAAAAACAAAAAATAAATCAATGCCAAACAATAAGATATCAGTGAGAAAATATACTGTTATCCACTAGACAAATGTTGCTCCAAGTAGTTCTTTACCTTAATTCTCTCCTCTGCTCTTCTTGTTTTTTTAATATCCACACTTATAGGGGGCATGGTGGAACATCAAGGGTTGTTCCAGCTTGAATCATGCCCCACCCAATTAGACGCCAATGCTTTTCAACTCGTCGGCTGAGTGCAATCTTCTCTCCCTTGCTAGTGCACACAGGAGATGTCAATTGCAGCTTTGCCAAATCATTCTTTACAGCAATAACACGAGCACCAGTCGACATAGACCCTATGTTCAGCATAAGAATCTCTGCCTTTGCCAACTTCGAGACCTTTCCTTGCTTCTCTGAGCCCTTTGTCCTAACACCAATAAGTCGTCGAAGAAGAAAGAAATTCACCTGCATAATAAAGAGCAAGACATCAGCACCAAAGATGCACAGGAAGGTACCAGACTTCATCAAATCTAATAAGTGTTTTTTGTAGTAGTGGAAATAGATAACAAATCAGGAAGTAACACTAGAAACAGTAAAACAAAATAAGTAATACCCCATAAAACAAAATAAGGTATACAAAAGGTAGACTATAGAAACGGACAAGAATAACACAAAAATTATCTTGAGCAGCATCAAGTTCACTTCCAAATTTCCCAACTGATACATGGGAAAACCAGTATTGTAATAAATCACCGATAAAAAAATCAATCTTCCCTTCTAAGAATGGAACATGTATTCATGCATATATTCCCGTACATCCATGTACTGATGCATCCATAAGCATTCATGCCCGTAGTAAGAGGCCCTTGCATGCATCAATACAAATTAATTGCTCGGCAAACTTGTATAGAAGCAGAAGTATCATATACAATAATAAAATATATCAATACAAATTAATTTGCTCGGCAAACTTGGTATAGGAAGCGAGAAAGTATCATTATACAATAATAAAATATATATATATTATATATATATATATATAATATATTGTTGCCATGTTCAGCATCCTTGACCTCAGGTTCAACAAAAACTTCAGGGGAGTGACCAACATCTCCAAGAACCTGACCCACACCGATCAGCACGAGTTTATATATATATATATTTGTTGCCAGTTCAGCATCCTACCTCGAGTTCAACAAAAACTTCAGGGAGTGACCCAACATCTCCAAGAACCTGACCCACTAACCGATCAGCACGAGTTAAAGTAGGGTCCATGGTTGTGCCAACACCAATAAGACCTCCAGGCACAGCAAACTGTAGCTCATTCTGTTCAGCATACAGCGAAACTATTCTCGTGTATATTGGTGTGCACTTGATATTCCCAGTCTCATCTTTAACAACAATCCCAGGACGTACTTCAATAAATTGATTCACCTTCAAAACACCCTGCATTTAACAGATTTTTAATGTAAGCACGCAGAACCAATGTACAGTAGGGTTCAAGTCATGCTAAGAGAAGACAGCATGGTGCACATAACAGGTCAGCAAGGCTAGATCACATGCTTCCTAAAATGGCATACTTGGAAGCTAGATCGTGCATTGACCAGAAACATTTTTGTGATTACATTTGTCAAACAGTCTCTACAAGAAGACACTAAATGTAAGGAGACAAATCCAGTCTTTAATATTTAAGTCAAATCACATCACACATGTAGTCTTTAATATACAAGTCAATGTTAGTTCCAAAGGCCAACATCTATATTTACTTTAGGACAGCATGTTCAGAAAGTCTGTCAGGCTATGTTGTTCTGAGTTGAAATGACAATTCAAACTACGTTTAGAAGCTAGGCGAAATCTGGAGCACGAATATATACTTTGTTGTCAAGTTTTATTTCATTTTTTGTTCAGCTCGAGAATTCCCATCTATTCCGATAAACATGGGATTGTAGTTGGCAATATACCTTCTTTGTGGTGTGCGGTTTTTGTATTGCAGTTATTTTCTTACTCTCAGTTTCTTGTATTTAAGAGAATTTTACGAAGGATTGAGTCTTAAACTCAGAGATCATAGAGTTTTGAGAATGCCCACTTACTTTCATTCATTGAAAATCTCAGAGATCATAGAGTATTGTAGAATGCCCACTTACTTTCATTCATTCAAAATAGGTAATGGAAAGAAAAAACCTTAACTATAATCTAAATGTTAATCAATTCTTTGCTATTCAACTAAACGGGCCCATAACTAGATCACAAACATGGGACCATGACATATGCTATATGCTTTTGAAATGCAATAAATAAGTTCTACATATATTTCTCTCCCAACTACTCCAAAATTTTCTTAGCATTAGATCACTTCGCAGTCTGTTCAACGGTGAACGCTTCCATACTTGTTCAGATCTTACTCATGGAGAAAGAAATTCACCTCTACAGATCGTTCTGAAACCAAATGACATCACTAAACAAGTAAATAATTTAAGGCCCTGTTCGGCAAGCAATAGCTTTTTATGTAGCTTTTCAAAACATTCTCTCTATATTATAGTGTTCGGTGATGTAAAATTTATATTAGCATTTAGAGTTTGAGCAGATTATGAAACGCCAGTTAAATAGCCAATATGACAGCTAACAACTACTAAAACAACTAATTTTGCGAAACAGACCCTAAAAAGACAGCATCACCTTCTAAAAACACCTTGACCAGCTCACCCTATTACTCAAATTAGACCAAAAGTTGAATAATGAAATTTTATATTGTTAATCAATAAGAATAAATTTTTCGCTAGTTAAAGCTTCTAACAGATTCTCATAACATCACAAGATTCCAAGAAAGTAATGGCAACTGCGCAAACTGAAGAGACCATCAGGAAGCGGCAAGATATTTCTACTGCAGTAGCTAGAAATCAAAGATGCTTGCTGAAAGTTTGACAAACTTGATGATGGAAACAACAATGAAATGCATAGATCAAGAACATTAGAGAAGGCAGTGTTGTCAAATGCGCTAGGTGCTCTTCAGGCAAGAAGGTCCACCATCAGCCGAGGTTCTAGGCACCATCTAGGCACTTGCCCAAGTCAAGTAAGGAATTCTAGATAATTTAGAATTTAGAATTCTGACAATTGGTCTTAGAATTCTCGACACATTCTTGAAGAACCAAACTGCCATTCAAACTTAAAATACTTCATAAGGTTTCTCACCACCAGTCGTCATCTTCGTCAACATCCACTGAATCATGTGACAGTTTTGTATTTGTACTTATTTTTTAATTGTTAGATCTAATTTAATCTAATATTTGTATGGCAGTCCAACTTCCCAGTCTCCAGCCACTTTCTTTTTTTTCCATATTTGTCATTTTTAATTGGTAGATTTTGACCTAACTTTTAATGGCTGTCCAGCTTTCCAATTTCCAGCCACCTTCCTTTTCTCCCCCATATTTGTCCTTAATTTTAATGGTTAGACTTTAACCTAATTTCTAAATGGCTGCCCAACTTTCCAATTTCCAGCAACTCTCTTTTTCTTCCATATTTGTACAACTTTTTAATTGTTAGGTATTGATCTAACTTTTAATACTGTCTGACTTTGCGTTTTCCAGCCACTAAAGTTAAAAAAATAAAAATAAAAATTAAAAATTAAAAAATTAAAAAAAAATTGTGCTTATTGTTAACCCAACTTTTTAGTAGCTGTCCAGGGGAAAAAGCAAAAAATGTGTGAGGTTCTCGCTTCATCTTGCTGCTCCCTTGGTGCCTAGGCAGCACCTAGTTGGAGGAGCGTCGCATAGAGGTTTCCCATGCACCTACTCCTCGCTGTGGCACCTAGGTGAGGGCCTGGTGATAATAATGAGAGAAGGAAGCAAAGAAATTTAAAGAAGTTGCAATTGACAGCAATGCCACTATTGATCTCCTGCTCTAACTTAAATTACTTAACAGAGATATTCAAAATATTGATCGTCCAGCTCTTGGCATCCTGTTCATTCCCAATACCCATTGTTGTTACTTCACTCAAAAATCAATCAAGAATCAGGCTCTTCTCCAAAAATTGGGTCTGGGCACGTATCTACTTATTTGTTTGAGGTCACCCTTCCTCAAACAATGAAAATAAAATAGTATCATTCCACTATACTATGGATGACATAAAACAAAATTATATTGCTATACTAAAGCTCTTTATAAAGCTTAAAGAGTTGAAGCATATAGTTCAAGAGTCTGCCTCTACACATGACTTCAAAGAATTACCAAAGAAAAATTATCTGCAGAAAAAATTCCAATCATTCGCCAAAGAACACCACCACCCCCCCCCCGCCTTCTACACATGACTTCAAAGAATTACCAAAGAAAAATTATTCTCAGAAAAAAATTTCAATCATTTCGCCAAAGAACAACCAACCACCCCCCCCCCCCTCTCCCCCCCCCCCCTCTCCCTCTTTTATTTATATGTGCAACAGTTCCTATAATCATAAAAAGCTTCAAAATTTATCCCTCTCCATATAGTCCAGAAAATAAGGAAGCATCCTGCAACTTGAACCTAATATTACAGTTAGGGTCCCTATGATTCCATTGCTACATTTTAACATTGGCTCAATCAATTTCAATAGCACGATACACCAATAGTTCAAACACAATAAGAATGATGAAGTAGATAGTTTGCCTCTTGCAAGGAAACACCTATTAACCAAGCAAATATCACCATTTCATAAGATCATCTAAGGTTAAATTTTGAAAACTTACTGCCCCTCCGCCCGCCAAGAATATAAATAAATAATTCATGGGGAATTCGACGGAATTTAGCTATTACCCAACTTAGTGAGAAAAGATAATACAAATAAAACATAGACCTTGCATTTGAATGGAGATATATGAACTTGTAACATTTGAAAATACAAAGGGTTTCTCTAATTGATTAGATTTACAAATCTGAGTTACATTATGAATAAGAAAAACCGCATTGAATGTGGAATTAAACCGCTGAAAAAAAAATGATTTGATTTCCACTTCAAATCATTTATCAACCGCATTTTTATGAACCCAAATCTTTATTAATGAATTTCCCTACTTTACCACTTGTCACCCTCATCACTATTTTAAGACAAAAAATAAATGAAAGTGATGGCCTCAAAGATGGCTTTTAATAGGATTCAGCACCAAGAACCAAACTAATATTATCGGGTCTGTTGAATAAATTCAAACACTTAAACTCCACCAGGAAACTCAACCCCCATCCCCGCCTCCCTAAAATAAATAAATAAATAAAAAGTAATATAAAAACACACAGACACAGAGATTTTGCTAAAATTAGGGGTGAACATTCGGTTTGGTCAATTTGATTAATTCGATTAATTTAGTTAATTCGGCTAATTCAGTTCGGTGAATAAATGTTCGATTAAAAGTTTAGTTAAATAAAATTAAAATTTCGGTGATCTATTAAAACTTAATTTAACCAAATTAATCAAATTAACTGACCCTCAAAACTACATTGTTTTGATTAAGTAGATAATAAAATTAAAAATTAAAAATATTTCAATTTTTTATTTGGATTAAATAGTGATTAATAACTTCAGTTAATTTTTATTTCGATTAAAGTCAGTTAATCATAAATTTCAGTTAAATTCGGTCGGTTAATTAAGTTTTCATTTTCTTTAACTTCGGTTCGGTTAGAGTTAAATTCGGTCGGGTTTAATTAAGTTTTTCATTTTCTTCTAACTTCGCGTTCGGTTAATTGATCAAAATAATATCGTTAATCATAAATTTCAGTTAAATTCGGTCGGTTAATTAAGTTTTCATTTTCTTTAACTTCGGTTCGGTTAATGATCAAAATTAATTCAGTCAAAACAGTTCGGTTAAGTTCGGTTAAAAAATTAATTCGGTTAAAATCAGTTAAGTCAAAAATTTCAGTTAATTTATTTCGGTTAAAAATTTTACTCAAACCGACCGAATTGGCCAAATGCTCACCCCTAGTTAAAATGCTTTGCTCGTCGAGAAAAACCAACTGAAATATGAAATAATGCGATGAACACATTTTTGTCCCTCCTATGACAAAATAAACCAGTACAAGCAACATGCAATTTGAAAAGAAATTAAGAAATAAGGAAGATACAAATGAAGAGGAAGAAGACAAGGAAGAGAACAAATATAAAGCAACATTGTCTAAAACATACCCTTAGGATGCTTCCACCAGCCACACCACCTTTTATCTCATCAACCTCAAATCCAGGCTTATTGACGTCAAAAGAGCGAATGACAATCATATTAGGTGGTGAGATGAAGTTCCTCTCTGGAATGGGAATCTTTTTCACAATGTACTCGCACACAACATCTATATTGTACTTAAGCTGAGCAGAAATCGGTACAACTGGGGCACCATCAGCAACAGTTCCCTGAAAAGAAAATATTAAATGAATGAATAACCTATATGCCATATGCTATTGCAATATACTCCAGATATTTGCAATTCCATTTCATATCATATGCTTAAAGGAACAAAAGGATGTAGTTTGCATCTTTTGTTCAATCTTTGCCATATTGTTGACAATTAACATGCTTTAACCCCTCTAACTTGTTTTACAAAATATGGGTTGCAAATAGAGAAAAGGAGGGAGGATTGCTAAACCTGAATAAATTTCTGGATAGCCTCATGTTGGTTGATGGCTACATTTTCTTGAATTAGATCAACTTTATTTTGAAGAATTATGATATGCTGAAGACGCATAATTTCAACAGCAGCAAGATGCTCAGAAGTCTGTGGTTGGGGACAGCTTTCATTTGCAGCTATGAGAAGTAACGCACCATCCATAATTGCTGCTCCATTAAGCATCGTAGCCATGAGAATATCATGACCCTAATAGGAAGAGTGACAGAACATATAACTTAAACATGAATAAATTATTCTAGATGCAGACCAGCTTTTCCCTTCAATTAGCAAGGCTGAGAAGATAGAAGTATAACAAATCTAGCAGCAAAACATTAGAGGCTAATAACTGGGAAAATAGGAAATTCATGTCCAAAACCAGGAAAAGCACACGAAGCAATACCATAATGGTACTAATGTATCAGCACAAGCAAAAAACTTAAAAGATATAGCTTCACCATACCGGGCAATCAACAAAAGAGACGTGTCTCAGCAATTTCATTTTACAATTTTCAAATCCAGGTACATCACACATGGGATTATCTTCCTTTCCACTTCCATATGCCCTACACGAGCATTTTCTCAAATTAAAACATGAAATGGTTAACTGATTCATAAGCTTCACCTATATGCCAACTCACTTGTAGCACATAGGACGGGGACACCGTTCATCTTCACACTTGTATATCTTAGCATTTGCATATCCAAGCTTAATTGTAATGTTGCGCTCCAACTCATTCTTAAAACGAACAGTCTGCAAATAGATAACAAACCATATGTTACACATCTAATTACTAATGCCCAATGAAATTGCATGGACTAGCTTAGTCAATTTTCAATCCTTGTTTAAGATAATGCCTAGAAAATAATTCAACTACGTAATTGCATTGACCACAACATGAGTTAAGATACTAAAGTTCCATAAATTTATAACAAGGAAGAAGAGAATTAACTTCATCATCATATGCCACAACTAAACATGTCAGTGCTAACAGATTACTTATTATACTGGGATGGCTGGAAGTTACCAGTATTAGCAACAAAAGCAATTCCTAGAGTTGCATGATTTAAAATACAAATAATCGTCTAATGTTTTTGATATGGAGCAAACCATGGTCACCAAGAACAGAGGTAAAGGTACAGGTACTGGTACGGAATACTCCACTTAATTCAATGTTGTGTAGCTTAGATGGTAAACTGATCTGTTACGTGGTATGTAATTTATAATTATCAGGCTTGTTAAGTCTTTCATTGGATAAAATTTTACACCTAGAATCTTTTCATAACTTCTTTTTTTATTTTGTACTTTTTAAAGTACAATACAAAACACAAATAGTAATAGAATTAGAAAAAATAATTGTTAAACAGATAATATTTAATATTATACATGTTAAAATTAAATTTCCATATGAATGGCTCAATGGACTGATATACTTCCTGAGAAGGAAAATGAAAAAAAAAAAAATCTACATAAAGGACAATCAATCAAAGCTCTAGTAATTGTTTAGAAGAGATCCAAATTTTAAGAAAGTCCATTACTTGTTTAAAGGTTGCTAAAACCAAAAAAAGAAATTAGAGAGCGCTCTATATTAAATGCCAACTAAGGCTTTGTACGGAGCAAAGGAAACAAAAGAAAGGGAAAGGATTCTTGAACACTGGGAAAGAAGAAATCAAATCTGAAACTGGAGAACATTAACATACTATATAGGAAGAGTTCATTTAGAAATAACTTCAAGTGTTTGGTATGATACAACTTCAAATGCAAAATTCAATTGAATTCCATATAATCGTTCAGTATAATTTCATAATTGAAACTCATTTATCCTCACTTGCTAAACAACTCTCAATTGTAAAATTAAGAAATAATAATTTTTCAACTCTATCAAAAAGGCCTTATACACCTAATAACAATCACTAAGTATATAATCAAATCAACTTTTTTTTTTTTTTTTGGGGGGGGGGGGTCAACTCTATCAAAAAGGCCTTATACACCTAATAACAATCAACTAAGTATATAATCAAATCAACTTTTTTTTTTTTTTCTGGGGGGGGGTAATTAAGCCAAATTTTTCGAAAAGGGGGGGGGGGGTAATTAAGCCAAATTTTCGAAAAAGAAATCAATAGGCTAAAGAGAGAAAAAAGAAAAAAAAAATACACACGTAACTAGAGTAAGGTAATTGTGCACGATAAAGTTGATGATGATTCTAATGAATACCACCAGCAGTACGAAGTTATGACCAATAAAGAGTGGAGAGAAAAAGAGAATCTTTTTTGGTATGGGCATTTATGTCCAAGAAATGTTGTGTTAATTTTGTGGAATTTGTTACAAATTTCATCAAATTTGATAAAATTTGGTTTTAATATAACCAAATTACCTAGTATTGAATTCTAAACTTTTTTCCAAACCAAACAAGCAAAACATGGAATTTTTAATTTAATTCTACCAAATTTTGTGGAATTCGTTTGAACCAAATAGGCCATAAAAATTGTTATGTCTTTTTATTATTCTTCTTTCACCATTATTTAGAAATAACATTGGGAACTGCAATTTCAGAGATTCAGATCATGTCCTACAGTGAATCGGACTGTGAAAGTTCCATAATCTAGGGCATGTGTCCGGATTATGTTATCCTAGGGGGAGCAAAGGAAAATATGTGCAAAGACACTTCAAGTGCTGGTAGCATTATAGTGTCTGTTTTCTCTTTTTCAAATACTTGACAATGGCATTGTGATTATGTATTATAATTATATCTCCATTCACTCTTTATGAATTTTGGCATTCCCAAATCCTTAGAATTCCTGTAAAGTTAGCATGGATCTATAGTATCACGTATATATGTGTATATATACACACACATCAAATACGGTAATGTTTATGCAGCATGCTCCACAGAAGGAATTCCTAGTCACTTTTAAGTAATAAACTGTTTCAAGTATAAAAAACAAAAGTATAACATTGAACCATGAAAACAGCAAATTACCTGAACACCAGAAATTGCTTTCACAACTGTTGACTTCCCATGTGCCACATGACCTATGGTGCCTGAGTAAAATACCCAATCTCAAAACCCTGAATCTCAATATCAAACCCACTAAAACATATACATAAAACCAGCGTGCACAAATATAGCATTACACAACTAAAAGCAATTCAAGCATGCGCAGACATAAAAAGTTACCTATATTTATAGTTGCTTGGCGAGATATAACTTCAGGAGAAAGTGGATGTAATTTTGTCACATCCAATTTGCTCAAGTCTTGCTCCATCAAACCTTTTCGCGACATCTTTTATCATACCAAGTTTCAAACTACTTTCAATAATTCTTGACGAGAAGGAAAGAGAGCTTCCTTTTCAATTCAAAATATAACACACAAATTAATTGCCAAATAAATCAACAAATACACAATAGCCTTCAAAGTCCATAAAACACGCACAAGTTTTGAACAAAATGGCGCAGAAAGATTGTTAATACTGAAACAACAAAACAAAGAAAGGAGCAAGGACCGGCAGAGATACATCATCACACAGCAAGACCAAAAGAGAAATGAGAAAAATTATAAGGAATCTAAAAGCTGCATAAACCCCAGAGAGCTGCAGATAAAATGAACAAATGGTACAAAACTAGATATCTGCAGGAAGACATCAATAAAGTGCAAATAACCAAATCAAAAAAACAAAGTCAGCCCATCTGAACCATAGAAAAGAACCAGCTATGAATAAGATAAAGATATTAATGTTTTCCACCTACAATTAAGCAATTAAGTTGAAACTGAACGAGGAATCTTAATTAACAATCAAAAATATTCACAAAGATGATCTCGAAGGCAAAAAACTTGAAAACAGAACAAACAAATTCCTCATGTATCCAACCAACAAACAGACCAAATACAGCAATCTTGGAAATAGATAAATAAATATTATTAAATATCTGAGTACTCAGCTAAGACTTGCACTCGACTTAACTGGATTTAAGGGGAAAAAAAAAGAAAAGAAAAGAAAAACACAAACTCCTTTAGATATTGGATTCTATAACGATAACTTGCAAGTTAAAAATAAACTTAAAAGGAGATAATCACTTCAACTATATGTCACAAAAGATAGCAACTTTTCACATTTAGTAGCAAAATATCAAGAAGGAAATATTATTTTCTCTAACAATTGCTTAATACTTGTGGCTATAAATTCCAGATTTCTCACTCTGCCACTTCCAAGAAATTTAAACCCTAATTTTTTTTTCCCCTTTGCAAAGTGTCAATTAGAAAAGAAAAGGGGGGAAACATCACTTAAAAAAAAAGGAAAAAGAAATCAGCGATACATTGTGGATACCTATGAATTTCAAGCTATCAACTTCCTGGATTGGGATATGAACTAGCGTAGTAGGACAACGCACTGTCTTCAGCCACTAAAAAATGGTTTTCCACTCACCGCGACGTGAATAAAACCCTAAACCCGTGTTTTTCATCAACCACCTCAATATAAAATAAAATAATACATTTCTTTTTAGCCGTGGAAAAAAAAATCCCCATATTCGACATATGTCACTAGGGCTGGCAATGGAGCAGGTACCACTAGAAATAACTACCCGAATCCGAATCCGTTATCACTTTAAGTACCTGAATCCGTCCCAAATCCATTAAGGAATAAACAAATAATAACTAGACTCGTCCCAAATCCATTTAGAATTACCCGCATACTACCCGAACCCGTTTAAATGCCCGCTTAATCACAAATTTATTCAATCTATGAAACCCAAACCCGCATAGAACCCGGATCCGAACCTGAAGTGCAACAAAAAATATATACAAAATGCATTAAAATTCAACTTCAAAATGATGAACCAATTAACTGACAGTACAGAGTAATATTAAAACAAAAGAATTGAAACTCAACCTAAGTAAATAATTCAAACCAATATCTCAATTAAACAATTTTACAATCAAACATCTACTAAAATTCAACAAGAATAATAACAATAACTAACTAAAAATAATTAAAATATAATAATACTAAACTATAACAAATTATCATATAATGAGAACCAAATCTATATAAAACATAATAAAAAGTATCTCAATAAAAAGAAATTACTAAATTAAAGTAAAAACAGAACAACCCTACAACAAAAACACAAGAAATTTTACATAAACATAATATTCTTAATACACACATAAATCTTGAACTCCATGTATTCAAGTACCAAGATTGCAAGGATTAACAATCAACATCATCTTCTTCTGCACAAAAAACAACATGCAAGTCCGCACATGAACAAGAATCTGAAAAATAAATAAATAAGAACTTTGATATTATAATAATTTGATAAACTACCTATCTAAAATTCATGAGTTTAGTAATTTCCTTATCCAAAAGCAACAGTTTACTCGGAGCAAATTAAACTAGCAAACTTAGTTTAGAAAACGAAAAAAAAAAAAAAAAAGGCAACAGTCTACTTGGAGAAAATTAAACTAGCAAATTCAAAGTAACAATATGACTAAAATACTTACATGTACAAGCTATCAAAGTCAGCCCTATATCCTTCTCAAAAAAAAAATTCAGCCCTATATATATACACACACACACCTTTAGCAGCAGAAAACCAAACTTTATTAACAAAAGCCGTGGAAAAAAAATCCCCATTATTGCGACATATGGTCCACAAGTTTATTGGGGCGCCCATAGGCAATGAGTCAAGCTTACGAAGGGGAAGTCCACCACACTACGCCCAGGATAAACTAGCCCACTTACACGAAATAGCCGGGAAAGTCCCCGCCAAAAAGTCATAATCACATCTGATGTAGGAAGTTAATGCCCTAATCTCTTAGATCCGTGCCCCCAATAAACTCGCGAATGTCAATAGGATGTTATTATACAACAAGAAAGTGATGAGAAATTAGATTAGACTCGTTCCGCTCAAAATCCAGTTTTTTGAGACCAAAAATTAGGATCCTGGCACCATTCCCACTAGGGCAAACCAACCGAACCCGTTTAAAATCCTGCCTGGCAGTTCCGCCCCTCTCTCTGTTACAAATAACACAAAAATAAGTCTATTCTACAAGCCCTCAAACAGATCTTTTATGGACTGAAGATCCAATCCGCAAAGACGCCCGCACATTGGGGAAGGTAATTTATAGATGCATAGAGAGTAGATTAACTGCAGGTCCCTGAGAATAGTGCCGAGGAGGAACTCGTAATGAAGAGTATGCACTAAATAAATTACACCAAAATTAGACATAATAGTATAAATATTATCCAGAAAATATTAGCTCAATAGAGAAAGAAATTTTCACCATCATTCTCAGAAAATCGAATGAAATCCATAACTTAAATATACGCCTACTAGTGTACAGTAATGGAAAATTGCATGTTAAATAAATTAAAACAATAAAAAAGTAAGTTGAATACTAAACTATAAGGCCAATATAGTAAATTAATTCAAACCAATATCTCAATTAAACAATTTACATCAAACATCTACTAAATTCACAAGTAATAATAACATAGATAACAAATGATAAAACTATAACTGAAATGAAATAATTTATATGAATAAACTATAAAATTAATTACTTTAAATGTTACATGTATTTAAATTAATTTGGCGAGAACCCTTATCAATGAATAGAGTTAAACCAAGAAGGATCGTGAATATTATGTGGAAATACTATTAAAGTGAATAACAATTGGTAATCCTCTCCTCAAGATTATAAAAAAAGAAATTACAACTAATAAATTTAATAAGTAATGGATCCAAAATATAAAAACAGAACAATTACAAATGTTCCAATTTAGTCATACAAAAACAACAAGAAATTTCTCACGTATTTAAATCCAAAATCTTATAATATGTATCTTAATTTACACATTTCATTTTATAAAATTTCAAATTTGAAGGCAACTCCAATGTATACTCAATTGATTGTCCCTTGGTGCTTGAATTCCTAACCTTAAAGAGGTGAGGATGATTCCTAATTTGCAAGTGAATTTAAGGCAATCAAACAATTCAATACTTTCTTTATCTCTGGCCACAAGTGAAATTTAAAGCGGAGGACCAACATGAACAAAGGTACTCCTGCTTTACTGGTGTTTTGTGGGTTGGAAATGACAAGAATCATGATATAAAAATAAAATTTAAATAAAGATAAAGGAAAGAAAATCCTCTTAAGATATTGGGTTCTTACCCCGGTATATTATAGTGAATTTTTTGTATGGAAAATGACTACCCTAAATGGATTCTAAAATTCTTAAAATGAAAGGTGTTAGAAATAGGATTCCTTATCCAAAACAATGCAACAGTTTATTTACTAATACGGAGTCATTTCACTTAATAGGTTCTGTAGACAAAACCCCCACTAGTGGTTAGAAAAACGAAAAAAGAAAAAAATAGATAGATAATTGAAATGGCCGCAACAACAAAATGGAATCTACTTGATGTAAAGGGAGAAAATTAAAACTTTTGGAGCAAGCACGATAAAAATCTAAAGGTAGTATATATGTGGAATTTTAAAAAAATAGTTAACAAAGTTTAAGTTAATTTAAAATGAACATTAGAAAGCAATCCTGTATCATAATATACTATATTATCCCGTTTACAAGGCTATCAAAAGTTCAGCCCTATATCCTTCTCAAAAAAAAAATCAGGCCGGAAACATTTATTTATTATGTAGAGGTAAATTTAGGTTAATAAAAATAAAATAAAGTGAGTCCTACAGTCACCTAAGCACAGAACGGCTTTTTTAGTGGAGACAGTTCATATGAACCAACCAAACTTATTACAAGTCAGCCCTATATCCTTCTCAAAAAAAAAATTCAGCCCTATATATATACACACACACACCTTTAGCAGCAGAAAACCAAACTTTATTAACAAACCATTCTCAGTATATGCAAATTATATGCAAATAATCTCATTCTCAATATCTCTACACAATCTTAATCATTATTAACAAACCAAACTTTGAATTAACAAACCAAATATGTCAAATTTCACTCATACAGCCACGAATTGGCTTATATTCACCATCCTTGTGTCTTTTAATATATATATTTTCAACAAATAAAACGTGCACAAAACCACAAACGAAAAAATAAAAAAGTAAAAATATATCTCTAGGCTGAACCCACAAATTAATTCAACAATATATTCAACAAGTCCTCCTCTTTGTCTGTTTATATGTATTTATATTAAAAAAGAAAAAAAGAAAGAAAGGAAAAGGGACGAAAAAAGAACTGAGAACACAAATTAATTCAACAATATATTTAACCATTCCTCCTCTTTGTCTGTTTATATATATATATATATATATATATTATTATATATATATATATATATATATATATAAAAGAAAAGGGATGAAGTATATAAAAGAAAAGGGATGAAGCAAAACGAAAGAAAAAATAAACTGAGAAAGAAATAAAAAAAATTAGAACGGACCTGGAACTTGTAGGCTTGAAGAGCACGACTGCTGCGGAGGCGACGGTGAAGAACGAAAGCGACGGCAAGGTGTAAAGCAAGACTGCCGTCTGTGGTTGTAGAACGAGAGAACGAGCGGCGCAGGTAGTCGGGAGAGAAGAGAACCCTCGACTTTGAGTTGAAATTTGAGATGAGTTAAAATGCAAACCTAAACTAAAACGACGTAGTTTTGTTTGTGGATTCATTTAAACCTCTACATCAAAACTACGTGGTTTGATAGTAAAATAGTTATTATTAATATTATAGCTATTAATTAAAACGCTATTAATTATTTGAAGATTAATTATTAGAGATAAGATATAGAAATCTACTAGTTAATTCGTTAGTTGTCGTGATTGCAAAGCTATTGAATTATTGTTGGTCAGTAGTATGATTGGTGGTCCCGCAAAGGTGGTCTCAGTAATCAATAGGCTCTAGTTGCGATTATTAATTGCAAAATGAGTAGATTACTAAATCTCTTTCTAATAATAAGTCTTTAAACACTAATGACCCTAGTTCTAACCTTAGTAATTTGAATACCCAAGAGATGAATATCGCTTGTGTGGAAAATCATCTACATAATTCGCCTATCCCAAAACATGATGTTAATAATATTCATAAAATTGATTCATTTAATTTTCTTTCTGATTATTCAATTAAATAAACCAAACAATATGTTCCATTAAGCCATATGTATGAAAATATTCAATTATTTTCTCCCCAAGCTATTTTGAAGCACCAAGAAAAATACAAATTTTTGCATATAGGTATGGTTCAAGTTGCAATTAAACATTTATTTCGAGGGACGGAGGAAGAGATGAATGTGTAGCTTTAATTGTGGAGTGACATTAATTGTTAAACTAAAATGGAAAGGAGAGTAGAGTCCAGGCAAAGTAATATGATACTGTCATGACCCGTTTCCATGGGTCGGACCGGCACTAGGACCCAAGTAAGCTTAAGGCCCCCGAGGGCCGTAGTAAGCCTGAAACACTAAAATCTACTAGGAAAAATAAGCCTCAAGATTTTATTATACCTCGGCCCAAATTTATAATCTTCAACATTTAAAATGATTGGAGGCATATATGGTAAGCAAAGGAATACAATTGTAGTGAAATTGAAGTCCAAAAATGCATGAAAATCAAAGTCGCGAGCGCGCCTGTGTAACGTCCCATTTTTCTATTGAATCGAGTCGTTGCTTAGAGTCGAGTCGGGCTGATCCAAAACCCGGTTCGATCCATTAGATTCGAGAGTGGGCTAGAATGGGATGACATTGAAATAAGGAAAAGAAGTGGACTTACTTGAAGGAAACAAAAAGATCAAAGTATAAGGATTAGGACTTGATTTCACTAAAGTATAAAGTTGAGGTATGTACCATTGAACACTTGAATATCTTATTTGGTTAATTTTTCACATAAAAATCAATGACAATTTCTAGAGACTACCCGTGGATTCCATTTCATTCATTTCTTCATCCTTAATCTTCATTCTTCTTCCTCTACTTTCCTCTTCCACTTTCCTTTCTCCATCACTTTTAATGGTTAGTTGAAGATGTTAATGGGGATTCAAACATTAATTCAAACTTCTATTTCTATCCAAGTAAGTAAAACTTCTTTATCTTATACTTTGACTCATTGGTATATTGTTAGATAATTCATAAGGGAACTCCATTGTATAGGAGAGGTGAGCAAAAAGGTAGAAGGAGCTAAGAAAAAGATTTCCAAGCTTGTTAAGTGAAGGTGTGCTATCTCTTTTCATTTTGCCATTTTCTTTGCATGAGGAAAGTGTGTGTGTTGCTAATAAGATTCTTATATTGCTTCATGTTGAGAGGGGAGGACTTGGTAATGCGTGAGAAAAACAGGGGAGGTAATTGATTATATATTATGAAGTAAATATTGAGTTTATGTTGAAAAACAGGGGCTTTGCTGAAAATTTTACTAGGAACTTCATCTTATTTTGACCCCATTTAATGATGGAATTTAGGGAATTTTTAGTTGTCATTATGTATATATATAGTTATTTTGTTCTCTCTTATGTGTTAGCTTTACATGGTGCCTGTTTTTGAATCATCCATTTATTTCTGAGTTGTATATTTTGAGAGATATGTATCAAAAGAGTACAGACTGTCAGGCTGGAAAGACGCGACGCGCGCGCTTGCGAAATTGATGACGATCCAGTCGCGAATTGCATGAAGAGTTCGCGTTGCACTTCTCGCGCTCGCGAATTTGAATTACGTGCTCGCTCGCGACTCTCACCTGAAACTCTCTGACTCTTATTTGGCACATCTCGCGCTCGCGACTTTCAAGTACGCGCTCGCGACTTGTGCTCGCAACCTTATTGCCTCTCATTTGGCCCTTCTCGCGCTCGCGACTTGCAAGTGCGCGCTCGCGACTTGGCCCTTGGCCTGTAAGCGCTCGCGACCTTCACCGCGCGCTCGCGAATTTGGCCTGGGAACTCACTGTCTCTCCTTTTGCACTCTACGCGCTCGCGACTTTCAAGTACGCGCTCGCGACTTGTGCCCGATAACTCACTGTCTCTCATCTGGTGCTTTACGCTCTCGCGACTTTTAAGTTACGCGCTCGCGACTTTGTGTTTTCATTGCATTTTTGGACTTCATTTTCTATTGCAATTTGGATTCCTTTGCTCAACTTGTATGCCTCCAACCATTTTTTAAAACTTAAAAATATAACATTTTATATTATCATGTATTCTATTATATATCAACATGCAAGCAAATGCAATTATTATTAATCAAATAAAACATTATATTTATGAAGTAAGTGATGAACTATTAATTATGATGTTGTGTTCTATTATTGACATTATCTCTATTTACATTATGCTCCATTGAGGTTAGGTAGAAACCATGTAGATAAGGACTATGTCGTGACATAGGATTAGCCAGATCTGCACCCCGATACAGGTTTTGATACTCCGGCTACAGGCCGTTGAGTGGGATATGATTATATTATGGGGCCAAGCAGCCAAGCAATACAGTATTCATCCAGTTTAACAGTTTTCTTATCACTCTCGGTTTCCACTATAAACCTTATGGAGCTATACAGTTATATTGACTAAAAGTGCATAATCATACAGTATTAAGGAAGCAGCAAGTATATAATAAAAGGCTATCATAATTATGTGTGGCATTACCATGTCATATGTTGAGTACATGTTTGTTTCTACTATATGTATGTGCTTATTTGTTTCTCTTATTCGTTGCGATATTTCCACTGTAGGTTTTAATAAAAGTTCTGCAAGAATTCAGTTACTATCTATAAAGAACATGAGGTAAAGATCATGAAAAGATATAATGCTATATTATATGCTTACAAGTTTATTTATATCTCTTTTACAAGTTTATTTATTGACTCTTTAAGGAGCCATACAGTCATGAGATGTTATTAATCATAACTTATATGATGTGACTAAAAGTGCATAAGTCATACAGCATAATGAAAAGCAAGTAAGACAATGAAAATATACTGTTATGTATTCTTACATGGTTATTGATTTCATTCATACAACATAATGAACAGCAGGTAAGATCATGATAGTTTCATGATATGTGTGATTAAGGTTCATGTAAAGGAGTTATAAGATAATTAGAACTAAATTATTGATGTTTATGAATTAGAAGTTTATTCTTTGCTATAAAGATACATTGATGTTTTGGAAAAATTTACGGAATCTATGATTTTTCAAGCTTTTTATGCAATTTGTATTTTAAGTTTTAGTTGGCCATCACCATTCACACTTTGTTCAGTATGTTGGAATTATGAGCACCATTTGAGTTTTTTATACTCAGCGCGATCGATTTTATCACGCGTAAGGTTGAAGATTCGTGATTGCTTTTACTAGAAGACTGAAGAGTATTATTAAAGCAGAAAGTGACTAATTGGGAGTAGTTAGATTGAGAGTTATATATATATATTATTATTGCATTGTATTAAGATTTTTTATGGCATGTATATATATTATTTATATCATAATATAATTGGAAAACATATTATTTGTAAGTAGTTGGAGATAAGAATAATACTTATGAAAATGATTGAAATGAAATAGTTTACTATTATATATTAGGTCATGAAAAACTGATATAGATTCTGAATCAATTAATTTGCTAGAATATTTTTAAATGCTATTGAGGATTCTATACAATTTATGAAAAGACATATATAAAGTGTTTTATTGTTTTATGATGATTCTTTGGAGATGTGGGAAGTTTAGAAGTGTAAATTGGGAGTTAGTTTATATTCATATTTTTCATATTTAGCATACAGGATGATATCAGCATGACAGGACATAAGTTCAACCAAATTGTAGCGTCTCGCTCGGTTCATTCGGGTTAACGGGTGGACCGGGAAGGGATGTTACACGGTCACCCCGCTAGGTGTCTTGTTCTGACTGCTTTCTCCAACTTCGACAGTCTTCTTTTGCCTTTTACGACCTCTTCTTCTTTCTTTTTCTCTCTTCTTTCTTTTTCAAGAATGGAAAGAAGAGGTTATATATATATATTAGAAAGAGCTACGTTAGCTGGATTGAAAAAAAGAATTAAAAAAGAGTAAACATAAACATCCTTTTCAGTATTTGAGAATTCAATTTTTACATATATATTTGAATTTTAAATTCGACTTTCACTCCAAATAGTTTAACTTTTATATATATATTCTTTCATATGATTACGCTAACAGTCACACAAATGGCATAACAACATCATTCACACTTATTAACAACTTCACATAATCACATTACATGAAAATTGGTCTGTGGCGTCATCGAAACCCCCGACAAGCTGTCCTCCCACATGGCTCATCCTTTCATAACGTGTGCACCAGGGAGCCAAATCCTCATACATGTTCGACTGGTCTAATCCTCACTTGACCAGCCCTCTCATTGTTTTTCCATTCTCTCTTTTCTTTTCAATACCAATAGGAGGCCACCCTGTGGTTTTCATCCATATCATATCATCAGGTGCACACGGGGCCGCCATTCTCCCCATTATGGCCCAAACAGTCTCGCTAACTAGACCGCCCTCACCAAAGCCATGGTGGACCCACTTCATCCCAACTCCACACATACAAGGTCATAGCATTATCACAACACAATAATCAAGTATTGCAATTAAATGCAAGCATAGTAACAATAA